GAGGAGAAGCCAGATGACAATTATTATTACCAGTGCCACCAGTAATAGAAGCTGACATAAATCTGGAATTGTACTGTTCACATAACTGAACTTTTATTAGCAGTTGTCATTGAGTGATATCAAATGTATTGCTACTGATTTTTAGAATTTTATACTCTTGGTTTGCAACTGATATTAGACACAGTTATTGACTAATTACTATTAACTTACTCAGTAAGAAAATCATGGCCATTGTGTATATCTATGGAAGATTCCAAGGAAATGTGAACATACAAACCTTGTGGAGTCAAACCAATATTCCGTCTAGTCAAGGATCCTGTTCTTAGAAGGACCAAGCAGATGTCTCTGGGATGTCTGCAAGCAGGATGTCAGCACAACAGCACTCTTCCCACTTGGAAAGCTCACCATCTCGTATTGAGAGGCATGTTGAACAGCCATGAAGTTATGGAACAATGATGATTTTTCTTTTTCCAGGCAGAGATATCAGTGGTGATGCTTCTCAGCGTTCTGAAGTCTCCTTTTCTTCTGGAAAAACAGCTCGGATCTTCTGTAAACATGGAGTCTCTAATTATAATGAGGTCTTCTGGTACAAGCAAACCAGAGATGCAGCCCCTTCCTTAGTCATCTACAGTTACTCTAAAACTGAGAAGAAAGAACGGTTGGAGATGGACACTGACAAAGGGAATCTGTCTACAGAGCTGTCCATCAGCAAGGTGGAGATGGGGGACGCCGGGATCTACCATTGTGCTGCAAGTGACACAGTGGTGGGAAATGCAAGGCGAGCTGCACAAAAACCTGAAGAGCTTTGATCCTCTTCACTGAGCTGCAGGTTCACCTCAGGGACACCCACGTCACTCTTTTTATAAATGAGTCATTCAGAATAAATCATTGCCCTAGTTCAAAAATTCACCACCTCTTTTTCTCCTTGGCCCATTATGACCATGATAGCAATATAGTGTTGTCCCCTCTATTTCCAAAGCACAAGGGGTGTGTTTGTGTGGATTCTCATGTTGCCAAAACAGCACTATTCATTCACAAAAGAGTGGTATTAGCAGATTTTGGGGTACCCAGTGTTTTCCACAGTATCAAAATTGTGTTTGTTTGTTTGTTTAAAAACAATGTAGAAAAGCATCTTTGAAAAAAATGATTGTGGATTGCCAACTGATTATTACGAAGTGGAAATAGAAAAGTTGGATGTGAGTGGAATAGGGTATCCTGAAGTAGGGCAAGGATGAACTGGAGTATGTACAATAATTTGTTGCAGGTCTCCCTCCTCCACCTCCCTACTCATCTTCTGGTTTAGTGTTTTTTAAAGAAAAGCATAATGCAAGTAACTGTCTATGATATGTTAATACTTCACAGTGTATTCAAACTGACAAGCATAATTTAGGATCCAGTCTTATGAAAATGTGGGAGAAATTCTCCATTGAGGGTACACAGAAGTTTTAGCTAGTGGGAAGCAGCATATAATAAGAGATTGAGAAATTCCCCTGGAGGATTCTAATATGGAGGCTCACACCAAATTCAGTATTGGATTGCTGGACAGAGTCCAAAGAGTCTGCGAGAGAACAATATATAGGCAAATATGCATTATCTTAACTGTTCTTCCTCCACTCAACCACGTTCTGCCAACCTGGCATGTCACCATCTCTCTTCCAACCACAGTCCATTAAGTACAACTTACTCAACCCATTTTTTACAGTATGAATCAGAAACCTCCTTGTACCTGGTTCTTTCCTGTCTTGTGGTCAATTCATGGACTTGTGTACATAACATTGGCTTCAATAATAATGAGCCGAACAATGAGCCCACCTCAAAGTTGTTCCTCCAAACTGAAAATTTGATTATTCTTTTCCAAATACAAGGTTGTGACTTGGAACAGGAACTATATTGAGACAAGGGGCAGTGGCTCAGTGTGACTGCAACACAAGCTCCTCCCCAGAGCTGTGTTACAAGCCAAAGAACTGAAGGTTTGAGCTCATGCAGATTTTTGGAAAGAGAAGTGGGTGGGTTCTTGAAGAGGGCTGGCCAGCCAAATAGGCAAACGATGCAAAGCAGCATGATTCAAGGCTCTCCTCCCCACTAGAGATCCTACATGAGGATTATCTGTGGAGCTGCTTCAATCATGGCCCAGTCCCCGCCCAATCTGCCTCTGAGTCTGTGTCTCATGGGGGAGATTGGAGTACCATGACCCAAAAGGCCCAGGATCCCCCTGCTCTGCCTCAGTCTCCATTGACACAGCCTGCTCCCCTCCAACATGTACTTCGTGTGTGGGGGGGGGGTCCTCCTCTGAAGAAGATTCTTCCCCCAAGGACATGAGCGTTGTGATATCTCAGGAGAGTGACAAATGAGTGTAGTCTGCCATCTTGGTTCAAAATGTTGTCCTCTTGCAGGCAAAAATAGACGGATAGCCCTTCCTCATTCTTAAGCACCGCTATGCAAAACTGGGTTGTGACATTTTCAAATCAGAGCAATTCTTAGCAAGTATCAGAGCAAGTCCTCCATCATAACTTCAAAATGATGCCCAATAGTATTCAAGTAGAGATGAAAAACTTCTCCTTGATCTCACGAACCATTGGGCCTATTTTGGTTATGATATCTTAAGACTTGTCTGGACAGATAGAGAACTTATGGGGAAACAACTTTCCAAAATATGTAGAGAGTAGTTAAGTAATACTATTACTACTGCTACTAGTAGGATTTATATCACACTCTTGTTCCCGAAGGAGCCTTAGGCAGTAAGCAGACCCACAATCTGAAAACAAAAATGTACATCATAATTCTGAAACAGTTGTAGTTAAGGATGTAGAATCTAGAAGGACTTTTTCCTTAGCAGGATGAGAAAAAAAAACCTCAGAGGTTTTCTTAGAAGAATAAGCCTTAGGGACAATGTTAGACCTGCAGGTAGGGAGTGGTAAACAAATTTAATAAATAATAAAAATAATTTAAGAATTTCTAGTTTGTGTTGTGCTTTAACTGGCAACCTCTTGTATCATAACTTTGCTTCTCCTGCCCAACCTTTGGTTGGAATATGGTCTTGAACAGGTTGCTAAGCAACAGAAAAACCTACGGAGCAAACAGGTGCCTTTATTAAGGTCATGTGGTCAATAAGGGTCAGTGTAAAATTGTCAGTGTGCAAATGAGCATGAGTCAGCATTAGGTCTGGAAGGCTGGAAGAGGAAAGGATTATGTTACTTTATTTGTATTCGACCGGTGTAAATTTTTGTAAATAATAAAGATACTAAACTAAAAAAGAATCTCTGCTGCAAGTTTGTTAAAGAAGAACACCTCAAGAGTAGATTGTGAACACATCAACACCTTTGATGTAGAATACACCCAACAGATTGTGCCTACTCTCTCTGGCTTTCCTAGAAACTCATTGCATCACTTGCATTCAAAAGCATCACTTTCAGGGATCCCCAAGGTGGCGCCATTAGGCAATCTCCCTTGGTGGATATCAAGGGCCCCTCATCCTCTGAATTTTTTATTTCTAAAAAAAAATATAGATAGGGGATGTTTTGGGGAAGGTTGCCTGGGTTTTTTTTTCTTTTTTGGGGTTTAGGGTGTTTTGTTCATGTAAATGTTTCACCTGGTTTGTGATGGGGGTGCATGTGTGTTCTGAGCATCCATTTTTCCTTCTGTGAGATGAGTGCTTTGTGGTGTCCACCACAGTTTCTTGGATTCCAAAATGTACCCCCAAAAGTGTTGGGAGACCCCTGGCATAAGGTTAGATCTGTTAAGGGGAGCTGACAGCACCTGCAGATGTGACCCCAGTGTAACTAAAAATCCATCTGCTCAAAAGAAAACCACAAGACAGAAGCCACAAACACAATTTGTAAGCAACCCTGCTATCTTTGTTTTCTTCCACTAGATAGCAATGAGGAGTCATTCTTGCTTCACAAAACACTTCATTAGCTGTGTTAACTTAAGATTTTCACAATTCTACTTCTGACTAGTAGGAGAGAGCTAAAAAATTGGAAAAGAGAAAGCGCACATTGATAATTTATTGACCTGGGGAAGACGGCGACCTTAGTTTCTTCTGATTTTCCACACCTTACTAGGAGGGATCTGCGTTGGTGAGAGCATCTGCATTCTTCAGAATGACCTCAAGAGTCCACCCAGCTCAATGGATTCTCCTTGGGCTATTTCTGCTGTGTAAGTTGGGGAATCCTTAGTAATTTGGGGAAGGGTAGAGCTTTGTATGCAAAGGACACCAGGTTCATTCTCTGGGTTCTCCAGGTAAGGCTTAAAGAAAACCCCTCTCTGAAAATTCTAGAGGGCTGCTGCCATTCAGTATAGACAATATTGAGCTAGATGGAACAAGGGAACAACTCAGTATAAGGCAGGTTCCAAAACTTACAGAAAATATTAACCCTTAACAAGAGGCGAAAAGTAGCTAATAATGTCTACTCCACAGAAATATGCTTACTTTGCTGTTCCCTCTGGGATCTCTCTGTCTACCCTCCATTCAGTGGATTCCATTTGTCCAATGTCTAATACAAGCTAATACCATTCCTACTACTATGAGGAGGAGAAGCCAGATGACAATTATTATTACCAGTACCACCAGTAATAGAACTGGCATAGATCTGGAATGGTACACACAATTGAACTTTTATTAGCAGTTGTCACTGAGTGATATCAAATGTATTGCTACTGATTTTTAGAGTTTTATACTCTTGGTGTGCAACTGATATTAGACACAGTTATTGACTAATTACTATTAACTTACTCAGTAAGAAAATCATGGCCATTGTGTATATCTATGGAAGATTCCAAGGAAATGTGAACATACAAACCTTGTGGAGTCAAACCAATATTCTGTCTAGTCAAGGATCCTGTTCTTAGAAGGACCAAGCAGATGTCTCTGGGATGTCTGCAAGCAGGATGTCAGCACAACAGCACTCTTCCCAATTGGAAAGCTCACCATCTCGTATTGAGAGGCATGTTGAACAGCCATGGAGTTATGGAACAATGATGGTTTTTCCTTTTCCAGGCAGAGATATCAGTGTTGATGCTTCTCAACTTTCTGAAGTCTCCTTTTCTTCTGGAGAAACAGCTCGGATCTTCTGTAAACATGGAGTCTCTAATTATAATGTGGTCTTCTGGTACAAGCAAACCCAAGATGCAGCCCCTTCCTTCGTCATCCACAGTTACTCTAAAACTGAGAAGAAAGAACGGCTGGAGATGGACACTGACAAAGGCAACCTGTCTACAGAGCTGTCCATCAGCAAGGTGGAGATGGGGGACGCCGGGATCTACCATTGTGCTGCAAGTGACACAGTGGTGGGAAATGCAAGGCGAGCTGCACAAAAACCTGAAGAGCTTTGATCCTCTTCACTGAGCTGAAGGTTCACCTCAGGGACACCCACGTCACACTTTTTATGAATGAGTCATTCAGAATAAATCTTTGCTCTAGCTCAGAAATTCACCACCTCCTTTTCTCCTTGGCCCATTATGACCATGATAGCAATATGGTGTTGTCCCCTCTATTTCCAAAGCACAAGGGGTGTGTTTGTGTGGATTCTCATGTTGCCAAAACAGCACTATTCATTCACAAAAGAGTGGTATTAGCAGATTTTGGGGTACCCAGTGTTTTCCACAGTATCAAAATTGTGTTTGTTTGTTTGTTTGTTTGTTTAAAAAACAATGTAGAAAAGCATCTTTGAAAACAATGATTGTGGATTGCCAACTGATTATTACGAAGTGGAAATAGAAAAGTTGGATGTGAGTTGAATAGGGTATCCTGAAGCAGGGCAAGGATGAACTGGAGTATGTACAGTAATTTGTTGCAGGTCTCCCTCCTCCACCTCCCTACTCATCTTCTGGTTTAGTGTTTTTTAAAGAAAAGCATAATGCAAGTAACTGTCTATGATATGTTAATACTTCACAGTGTATTCAAACTGACAAGCATAATTTAGGATCCAGTCTTATGAAAATGTGGGAGAATTCTCCATTGAGGGTACACAGAAGTTTTAGCTAGTGGGAAGCAGCATATAATAAGCGATTGAGAAATTCCCCTGGAGGATTCTAATATGGAGGCTCACACCAAATTCAGTAATGCATGACTGGACAGAGTTCAAAGTGTCTGCGAGAGCACAATATATAGGCAAATATGCATTATCTTAACTGTTCTTCCTCCACTCTACCACCTTCTGCCAACCTGGCATGTCACCATCTCTCTTCCAACCACAGTCCATTAAGTACAACTTACTCAACCCATTTTTTACAGTATGAATCAGAAACCTCCTTGTACCTGGTTCTTTCCTGTCTTGTGGTCAATTCATGGACTTGTGTACATAACATTGGCTTCAATAATAATGAGCCGAACAATGAGCCCACCTCAAAGTTGTTCCTCCAAACTGAAAATTTGATTATTATTTTCCAAATACAAGGTTGTGACTTGGAACAGGAACTATATTGAGACAAGGGGCAGTGGCTCAGTGTGACTGCAACACAAGCTCCTCCCCAGAGCTGTGTTGCAAGCCAAAGAACTGAAGGTTTGAGCTCATGCAGATTTTTGGAAAGAGAAGTGGGTGGGTTCTTGAAGAGGGCTGGCCAGCCAAATAGGCAAACGATGCAAAGCAGCATGATTCAAGGCTCTCCTCCCCACTAGAGATCCTACATGAGGATTATCTGTGGAGCTGCTTCAATCATGGCCCAGTCCCCGCCCAATCTGCCTCTGAGTCTGTGTCTCATGGGGGAGATTGGAGTACCATGACCCAAAAGGCCCAGGATCCCCCTGCTCTGCCTCAGTCTCCATTGACACAGCCTGCTCCCCTCCAACATGTACTTCGTGTGTGTGTGGGGGGGTCCTCCTCTGAAGAAGATTCTTCCCCCAAGGACATGAGCGTTGTGATATCTCAGGAGAGTGACAAATGAGTGTGGTCTGCCATCTTGGTTCAAAATGTTGTCCTCTTGCAGGCAAACATAGACGGATAGCCCTTCCTCATTCTTAAGCACCGCTATGCAAAACTGGGTTGTGCCATTTTCAAATCAGAGCAATTCTTACCAAGTATCAGAGCAAGTCCTCCATCATAACTTCAAAATGATGCCCAATAGTATTCAAGTAGAGATGAAAAACTTCTCCTTGATCTCACAAACCATTGGGCCTATTTTGGTTATGATATCTTAAGACTTGTCTGGACAGATAGAGAACTTATGGGGAAACAACTTTCCAAAATATGTAGAGAGTAGTTAAGTAATACTATTACTACTGCTACTAGTAGGATTTATATCACACTCTTGTTCCCGAAGGAGCCTTAGGCTGTAAGCAGACCCACAATCTGAAAACAAAAATGTACATCATAATTCTGAAACAGTTGTAGTTAAGGATGTGGAATCTAGAAGGACTTTTTCCTTAGCAGGATGAGAAAAAAGAAAACTCAGAGGTTTTCTTAGAAGAATAAGCCTTAGGGACAATGTTAGACCTGCAGGTAGGGAGTGGTAAACAAATTTAATAAATAATAAAAATAATTTAAGAATTTTTAGTTTGTGTTGTGCTTTAACTGGCAACCTCTTTTATCATAACTTTGCTGCTCCGGCCCAACCTTTGGTTGGAATATGGTCTTGAACAGGTTGCTAAGCAACAGAAAAACCTACGGAGCAAACAGGTGCCTTTATTAAGGTCATGTGGTCAATAAGGGTCAGTGTAAAATTGTCAGTGTGTAAATGAGCATGAGTCAGCATTAGGTCTGGAAGGCTGGAAGAGGAAAGGATTATGTTACTTTATTTGTATTCGACCAGTGTAAATTTTTGTAAATAATAAAGATACTAAACTAAAAAAGAATCTCTGCTGCAAGTCTGTTAAAGAAGAACACCTCAAGAGTAGATTGTGAACACATCAACACCTTTGATGTAGAATACACCCAACAGATTGTGCCTACTCTCTCTGGCTTTCCTAGAAACTCATTGCATCACTTGCATTCAAAAGCATCACTTTCAGGGATCCCCAAGGTGGCGCCATTAGGCAATCTCCCTTGGTGGATATCAAGGGCCCCTCATCCTCTGAATTTTTTATTTCTAAAAAAAATATAGATAGGGGGTGTTTCGGGGAAGGTTGCCTGGGGTTTTTTGTTTTTTGTTTTGGTTTAGGGTGTTTTGTTCATGTAAATGTTTCACCTGGTTTGTGATGGGGTGCATGTGTGTTCTGAGCATCCATTTTTCCTTCTGTGACATCAGTGCTTTGTGGTGTCCACCACAGTTTCTTGGATTCCAAAATGTACCCCCAAAAGTGTTGGGAGACCCCTGGCATAAGGTCAGATCTGTTAAGGGGAGCTGACAGCACCTGTAGATGTGACCCCAGTGTAACTAAAAATCCATCTGCTCAAAAGAAAACCACAAGCCGGAAGCCACAAACACAATTTGTAAGCAACCCTGCTATCTTTGTTTTCTTCCACTAGATAGCAATGAGGAGTCATTCTTGCCTCACGAAACCCTTCATTAGCTGTGTTAATTTAAGATTTTCACAATTCTACTTCTGACTAGCAGGAGAGAGCTAAAATAATAGGAAAAGAGAAAGCGCATATTGATAATTCATTGAATTGGGGAAGACGGCGACCTTAGTTTCTTCTGAATTTCCACACCTTACTAGGAGGGATCTGCGTTGGTGAGAGCATCTGCATTCTTCAGAATGACCTCAGGAATCCACCCAGCTCAGTGGATTCTCCTTGGGCTATTTCTGCTGTGTAAGTTGGGGAATCCTTAGAAATTTGGGAAAGGGTAGAGCTTTGAATGCAAAGGACACCAGGTTCATTCTCTGGGTTCTCCAGGTAAGGCTTAAAGAAAACCCCTCTCTGAAAATTCTGGAGGGCTGCTGCCCTTCAGTGTAGACAATATTGAGCTAGGTGGAACAAGGGAACAACTCAGTATAAGGCAGCTTCCAAAACTTACAGAAAATATTAACCCTTAACAAGAGGCAAAAAGTAGCTAATAATGTCTACTCCACAGAAATATGCTTACTTTGCTGTTCCCTCTGGGATCTCTCTGTCTACCCTCCATTCAGTGGATTCCATTTGTCCAATGTCCAATACAAGCTAATACCATTCCTACTACTATGAGGAGGAGAAGCCAGATGACAATTATTATTACCAGTACCACCAGTAATAGAACTGGCATAGATCTGGAATGGTACACACAATTGAACTTTTATTAGCAGTTGTCACTGAGTGATATCAAATGTGTTGCTACTGATTTTTAGAGTTTTATACTCTTGGTGTGCAACTGATATTACACACAGTTATTGACTGATTACTATTAACTTACTCAGTAAGAAAATCATGGCCATTGTGTATATCTATGGAAGATTCCAAGGAAATGTGAACATACGAACCTTGTGGAGTCAAACCAATATTCTGTCTAGTCAAGGATCCTGTTCTTAGAAGGACCAAGCAGATGTCTCTGGGATGTCTGCAAGCAGGATGTCAGCACAACAGCACTCTTCCCACCTGGAAAGCTCACCATCTCGTATTGAGAGGCATGTTGAACAGCCATGAAGTTATGGAACAATGATGGTTTTTCCTTTTCCAGGCAGAGATATCAGTGGTGATGCTTCTCAGCTTTCTGAAGTCTCCTTTTCTTCTGGAGAAACAGCTCGGATCTTCTGTAAACATGGAGTCTCTAATTATAATGGGGTCTTCTGGTACAAGCAAACCAGAGATGCAGCCCCTTCCTTAGTCATCTACAGTTACTCTAAAACTGAGAAGAAAGAACGGCTGGAGATGGACACTGACAAAGGGAATCTGTCTACAGAGCTGTCCATCAGCAAGATCGAGATGGGGGACGCCGGGATCTACCATTGTGCTGCAAGTGACACAGTGGTGAGAAATGCAAGGCGAGCTGCACAAAAACCTGAAGAGCTTTGATGCTCTTCACTGAGCTGAAGGTTCACCTCAGGGACACCCACGTCACACTTTTTATGAATGAGTCATTCAGAATAAATCATTGCCCTAGTTCAAAAATTCACCACCTCTTTTTCTCCTTGGCCCATTATGACCATGATAGCAATATGGTGTTGTCCCCTCTATTTCCAAAGCACAAGGGGTGTGTTTGTGTGGATTCTCATGCAGCCAAAACAGCACTATTCATTCACAAAGGATCGGTATTAGCAGATTTTGGGGTACCCAGTGTTTTCCACAGTATCAAAATTGTGTTTGTTTGTTTGTTTAAAAAACAATGTAGAAAAGCATCTTTGAAAAAAATGATTGTGGATTGCCAACTGATTATTACGAAGTGGAAATAGAAAAGTTGGATGTGAGTGGAATAGGGTATCCTGAA